CTAAATCCAAATCCTTATCTCTACCTCTTTCAAATTACTTGAGCTACTCCTTACTCTTTCCATGTATCCGCAAATAAACTGCAGAAAAAGGTACAAGTAGTCCTGATCTTAGATAACTGGCTTAATGACACACTCAAATTGAATGCAACCATTGGTTATTAGTAAAAGTATTTAGTTATAAACATGGGCTTCTCCTGCTTCAGGGTATATGCAGGAATCCTGAAGTCAAATGTAAAACCTTTTAAGAACTTTTTTAAGACCCTTTCCATACATTTTAACGACATACATCGTCACTTGGAGTTTTAACCGGTTACCTTGGCGACACACTTTACCTCACATTGACTATATACAGTATTGATTGACCTTCCTCCTTATCTTCCAACCATTTGGACGCAAACTTGCATTTCCCCATAACGATGTTGCTTAGCAACCGGCGTAAACGGACCTTCGCGCGCTATCAAGCAGTGAGCGTGCGATGTCCTGTTCAGATGACGTCAAATCCAACGGGACGCTATAAATAAACTACACAGAATCACACTACACACCTACGCAATGATTACATTCAGGCAGACTGTAGAATACAACCTCTTTGGACAATTCATATACTTATTGAAAACAAGCTACAAAATGTGACATCTTGGGAAATGCCCTTTAATACTTTTTAATAGCCTTAATTTTCGCTAAATTGATTTATCAACTTTTAATACTTTTTAAGACCCCGCGGACGCCCTGTGCTTTGAAACAAAATAAACGTATACTGGGAGAAAGCCCTGTTCTATAGTCGTATTTTCTGCAGATTCACGGGGACTAGTTTGCTTTTACTGCATGTGTAACGTGTATAAGACGAACAAGTGAACCATGACGAAGCAGCATACCCATAGAGGATGACTTTGAAATGTCAGCGCTGTGTAGATTGGCCTTTCTGCTGGATGTACATTTAAAATAGAATTGTAGATTTCATTTTCTTATATGCTTGTCCCATGTAGATTCATTTCAATTATTACCAAAAACGCCTTTGGGAAACTTAAACATGGCTTCTAGGAGATTCTGTAAAAGTAGTACGTTATATGCTAATCTGAATGATAGAAAATGAGTGTTGACATAATGGACCTGTATATCACTCTGACCTGGTTCATGTTCAGAGCTCTTGTTCTCCTTCTCGATCTCCTGCAGTACTTCGGTCAGAGCCTCCCACTTCGGGCTCTTCTCCAGCACCAGCTGCCGTTTCACCTCTGAAACACACACATAATGTGAGCCTTTAGCAATCTAATAAGAATACACATGCAAGCAGAAAAGGATGCAGATGTCAGGTACCTGAGGATGGCTTCGGTTTCTCTGCCTCCGCTCCCAGTTTGACTTTCTTCTTGCTCTCTGGGAAGCGGTACACTCTTCCCCTGGTGTTCATAAACATGGAGGTACTGGAGTCGAGGAATAACCACCCTGATGGTAGCATAAACAAACAAAACTTAGATAAAGGTGCTGAATCAGAACCAGAATACCATTATTAGTCCCACAGAGGGGAGATGTACATTGTTACAGCAGAAAAGAGCCAAAGACATGCATAGAAATCTCTTAACCCTTATGTAGTGTTCGGGTCTCCCGTGACCCGTTTCAAGTTCAAATGATATATTAACTACGCTCTAGTTTTTTGTATCAGAACAAGGCTTCATGATATCCTCCACCACAGATATATAAACACTACAGAACAGATTCTGACCATTTTTGCCAAATCTGAAGGTCTCTAAAAAAAAAAGTGTATAATTTGGTGTTGGGGTCTGGGGAGACCCAGCTGAATTGTTTTGGGTGACTCGAGGTCCAATTTGGCCCAATCAAGATTCATCTTTGACTTTAGACACCCCCTTCATCAACTGTAACAATAATTGTTCACAACATGCACCTGGTCACCCCTCCCTCTGCCCCCCTCCCCCCTCGGGAACTCCACCTTTCTCAAAGAATATGTACACTAACACTTGAACCTGAACTCACACATGCACGTGTGCAATATGTGGTGTGATGTGTTTTGGGGCCATAACATTAAATTAATTACAACAGAATTGTACGGTTATGAATGCATTATACGTTAGTTATGATGTAGTTAAAACAATATTGGATGAGTCATTTTTTGTGTGTGTTTTGGACTGAGATAAATCATGGGTCAACATTGACCCGCGAGCACCATGAACGGTAACAGGTTTCGAAACACAACACAAGGGTTAATCACAAATATTAGGTTCAATATTCACCCACAGTATTTCAAAGTAAGATGTAGTTTACCTGAGTTGGATCCAAAGTTCTTCTGGCTGGAGCGCAGAGACTCGAGCAGATTGAGGAAGGTGACGCAGTCGTACTGGGTGAGGTAGAGCAGCAGCACCTTCAGCACCTTCAGGTCCTGGACCAGAGCCTTGGTCTTTGAGCCCAGCTGGTGCCACAGGGGGTCCAGGTAGTGACGGATCGTCTGGATAAGAGTAAGCCAAACACAACCAAACCTCAAATACAGGAAACTCAGCTTTCCAAATTAGACACCTAATCAGATAAAACACCTGTCATAAGAATGCCATGTTCTCTGTGTCTTTAAAAGATCACCTATCATGCAAAATGCATTTTGAATGTCTTTTGTAAATATGTGTCCTTGGTGTGTCAGGGAACTAAACCCTCTCTTTTCCTCCGTACCCAATGAGAGATGTTGTTTTAGGCGTAATATGGTCTTTGTTTACATTAGCAAGCATCGCTAACACTCAGAGCTAAGCTGTACTGGAGAGAGTATGTTTAAAAAAGCCTGTTTAGTTTTCTTGTTTTAGGTTACATTTGTCGTTCTATATAAAGAATTAGCAGACTTTCAATTTCAACATCCAACTCCATTTAAATACCTTTTCGAAGGCGTTTCCCAGCGTGTTCTCCAGGGAGAGGTCCTCGGCTTCCAGGCTGGGGTTGTAGCGCTTCAGCTCCTTCAGACAGGCGCTCATGATGTCCAGGATGGAGCTCTGGATGGCCCTCATGGCCGGAGTCAGCGACACGTTGAGCTCCACCACCTCCGGCTTGTGTCTGTCCAGCGCTGTGTTCACTGACGCTTGGAACCTGTTGAATACAGCAGGTTACAGATTATTATTATATACTGTGATATCTTGTTTCAACAGTTACTTTATGACTCTATTAAAACAAATTGTGATCACATTTGTATTGAGATTAATACACAACATGTACAACCAAAAGCACAACATATATATTTATTTTTTTTTAAATGAAATAATAACTAAAAGTACATAATAAAAATTAAAATTAGACAACAGACTACTTACTAAATATACAAAATGCAGAATATATACTGTATGTAAGCTAAAAATAATAACAATAATACAGAAATCAAATAAAAACAAAATAAAACAAACCCAACCCTCTCTCCAGATATATAAATACACTTTCTCCCTTTATTTTAAAAACATTTGGTATTATTATTTTAATTTTTTGATTCTATTTTGTCTTTATTTGTACCTTGTGTGAATCCTGTTTTTAACTCTGACCCTGTTGCTGCTATAAACGCCTGAATTTCCCCAAGGGGATGAATGAAGTTCCATCTTATCTTATCTCATATGTGCTTTTCATGCGATGAGAAGTGTCTAAATGTGCTTTTGAAATAGTTCTCATACCTGGGCCACAGGTAGAGCTTCTTGACGAAGAGGTTCCTCATCACTCGCTCCACCTGGCAGAATCCGGAGGAGAAGGACGTGGCCTTGTCAGTGAACGCTTTAATGAAGCCCGTCTTGTTCTTCTGTCTGAACAAACGGAGGATGAAGGCCTCCTGACACGACTCGATGATTGTATGAGCACGATACACCAGGATGCCTGAGGGCGAGATGCAGAGAGAGAGAGAGTGCATGTTAGTCTGGGTTTCTGTTGGTTATGAGACCACAGGATTCAAGGGTTTCATCATCATGTGCACAGTAGCTACAGTGTAGTTATAGCGAGGCCGAAACAATATAAAACCCTTTGAAATGTAATGCAGTGTAACACCCATCAATAAATACGGCATTATTTCAAATGTTTAGTAGTCTATATATGGGACAATCACCTTTATACTTAACATTTAAAGTGCCTTTAAACAATTACGTAGATTTACAGCGAGAAAGCGGGGAATGTTAGGAGAAGAAAGGAATCATTTCTCCCCAAAATCTTGAAAATCAACACCAAAAAAACAGCAAATTCATGAAACAAATATATATTTTTTAATCAATTACTAATTCTACAATAAAGCCATACAAAAAATATAATTGAACACAGGTCAAAGATATAGTAATAACCACCATTATGGTCTAGAATGCAAATAAATGACAATAATTGTTCCATGTTTAGAAATAACTAATATGGCTCCCTGTTCAATCCCGTGTCAACTTCAAAAACCTACTGCTCACTTACAAAGCCCTACATAACCTGCCCCCCCCTCCCTATCTGGCTGACCTTTTTCAGGAGTACACCCCGTCTCGCTCCCCCTCTGCTGGTCTGCTAACCGTCCCCACCCCACGCCTCGTCACCATGGGTGCTCGGGCTTTTAGCTGCACTGACACTCTGGAACTCCCTCCCCCCCGCACATCCGACAGTCAGACACAATCACCATATTCAAATCCCAATTAAAAACCCACCTGTTCAAATTTGCCTACTCACTGAAGTGCTCCCCAATATATGTTTCATTCGTGTCCACTTGATTGTCTCCTCCATGATTTCCTGTTTGTGTTTTTATCATGTTCTGTTGCCTATTAAACAAATTGTACGGTGTCCTTGGGTGTCATGAAAGGCGCCTAAAATAAATTGTATTATTAATATGTTCAGAAATAGCTAATGTAGAGACTTTTTGCACTACTTTTTATTTTGTATTTTTGTATTTGATTATATATGTTGCATTGTTGGAGGAGCTCAGGTCAGAAGAATTTCATTGCCATCTCTTCACTGTAGCTTTGTGCATATGAAAATAAAATCTTTGAATCTTTGATCAATAACATCACACTATGTAACAAACAATCATTGATCTGACCTGAGATCAGATGAGCCGGGACGCGGTCGGTGAGGAAGTCGACCACCAGGATCCTGCTGGTGACAAACAGCACCCCCCCCTCCGTGTACACGTTGTATCTCTCAGCGCTCTGCACGTCGCTGGTCACCGTCCTCGGCAGGTGGGTCACACCCTCCGCTCGCAGCTGCTCTGTGAAATACTCCTGAGAGAGAGTATTTTGGTAAACATCTTTAAAGTATCTTTACATGGAGGAGCTCGGGTCAGAAGAATTTCATAGCCATTTCTGCACTGTAGCATATGTGCATATGGCAATACAACCTTTGGATTTGAATTTGAATGTTATTTGCAGCAAGAAGTATCTAACATCTGTACCCAGGAGTCATATTATAAGACTGTGATATTTGTTCTACTTAAAGTTATCTTGCCTAGATTGTACAATTATAATGTAAACTTAAAAATGTGATTCCATAATGGTATTAGAATTTTACACAAAAATGTTCATTCTCACATACTTATGGTAGTTATATGACTTGTGAAAGGTATGTTACACAGTTCACTTTCAGGGTCATACCTGGCTTTACAGTTGACAACATTAAAATGCAATTCAAATATAAAAAAGTAAATGCTATGAGGCTCAAAAAAAGACAAAGTAATTTACTGATTTTCCAATTTGTGCAAGCAATATTAAAACATGACATTGGATGTATAAAAACTTAGGCTGCTCTACGATGGACAATTGACAGTTGAAAATGGTGCAGCACAAGCGATTCAAATGTTAAAATGAAAACGGCATTTAACCAGCTGTAAAATGGAAAAATCATAATATTATTCAAGTGTCATTTAAGAAACGTCCCTCATGGGCTTCCGTACTGGCGCTTTAATTTGCTTACTGGGCAGCTAGCTCCTTCAGAAGCCTTCATATAACACACGTGATCTCCCTGCTCACCTGCTCAGGTGTGGTGGTGTTCAGCAGCAGGACCAGGCTGCCCTGCTCGGAGTAAACCCGCATGAACTGCAGCAGGATGCGGTCTATCCCCATGCCCTCCGCC